CCCCTGCACCTTCTCCCAAGGAGCCCAGCCGCTTACCCTGGAGCCCAGAATCCTCTCATTCACTCGGCTGAAGCCAGTCTCCCACTCGGAACCCCTGGTCACCTGGGGCAGGAGCTCGTCCCCCTGAGGCACAGAGCGGCCGCTGGAGGCAGGGGCAGGCCTCCGCCCTGTCCTAACTGCCCCCAGACCCCCAGACCCCCAACTGTGGGGACAGGCGTCCCGCCCCGCCCCGCTCACATGAAGGTGCGTCATGGGGAGAAAGTCCGCCTTGCTGGTGCTCTGGCCGGGAAGGAGGGCCTGGGAAGAGGCCGGCGGAGCAGCGTCAGTGAGCCCGCCAGAGCCGCGGACTCTGCGGGGCTCAGCGCGAATGGGGTGACTGGGGCAACAGGGAAGGGACCGGTGTGGGAGGATGAGGCGGCCGTGGAGCTGAGTGACCCCAGGGGGCAGGGGGCCTGTCCGGTGCTGAGTGACCTCGGTTGGCCCCGCGGCTTCTCCTCTTTAGACCTCAGTCTTCCCGTCCATAAAGGGGGGGGATTAGGCCGAAGGAGTAGTTTTTACAAATGCTCTTTCAGCTTGCGTTTGAACAGGAGGTTCTGCAGCTCACATGTAAACAAAGCTAGGGGTTCCCAGGCCGGAGGGTTTCCGTCTCCCTGCGACTCCAGGGGGGCCCAGCCCCACTTACCGGGTCCCCAGGGAGCGCCTGGGAGGGCGCCTGGAAGGCGATGGGGTTCTTGGTGGACCCTTCGGTGAAGCCGCTCCTCTCCTTGGCCCCGATGGACTTCTTCTGCAGGAGATCTGCAAAAGGCCGCCCTGTGCCCCCGGCCACCTGCCCCACCCACGGGGCCTCCAGGGGCTCAGAGGCCGGGCGGGCAGGGACCGAGCTGAACCCCCAGGATCCGGGGCGCCAGGAGGAAACCAGAATCCAGGGCCGAGGAGAGAGGAGCGGGGGAAGGGCAGGGCCCACAGGCCAGGGGTGGCTGGGGTGCTCGACCAGCCCTGCAAGGTGACAGCTGTCCTTTGGGGTTTGGCGAGCCTAAGGCACTGAGGTCACCCCGGGGAGACAGTTCCCCCAACTGCCGGAACGTCCTTCTCTCTGCCCCCCCCCCCACCACCACCACCTTCCTGGTGCTGTGCCGGCTCCCGTCCCCCAGGGGCGCTCCTGGGCCTGTCCTGGGGTCGGGGGAGGGAGGCGCAGTGGAAGGAGGTCTGAGCTCAGACAAGTGCCCACCTGGCTGGGTTGAGGCCTCTTTGAGGTACTTGGAATTATACTCGGAAGCCATGAAGCGCGGGCCCTGGAACAGAGGGTGGGCGTGGGGACACAGGTGGCTGGGCCCAGGGGGCGGCTGGGGGCGGGGTAGCTCTGGGAGCCTGCTCGGAGCAGACCTGTGTGCTGTGTCCTGGGCAGTGAGGGACAGTCCGACACCAGCACACGAGTTCCTCTCTGACCAGGCCTCCCAGTGCCAGAATTCACGAGATCACAGTTCCCCGGCGACCAGAAAACTACTGCCCACCCCACACGGGAGTCCTAGCGATGAGCAGCGGGGCCCGGAGCCCCCAGGAGGGGCCCAGACTGGAAGGGGCCCAAAGAGAGGAGAGAGACCGAAGGGAGAGAATGGGAGTCACTTCACAATTCAGGGCCCGGACCCAAGGCGTCCGGGGGAGGCGGGGAGCAGGGAGCCAGGGTTAAACCCCAAGACGCGCAGAAGGACCGCTTGGATGCCGTCTTGGGAATCGAGTCCTTTGCTCGCCCATTTGTTTTTGTTGTTGCTTTTCGGTGCCCCGAGCCCGCATGTAGTGGGCTCCTTGAGGGAGTCAGTGCAGAGGGAGGAGGAAGAGGGGGAGGAGGAGGAGGGTCGGCTCCCGGCCCAGCCCGCAGCCCGCCTTGGGGTCACCCACTCACGTGTCGGGCATTCTCCCACTCCACCGAGCCCTTGTTCTGCTGCTGGAGCAGGGGCACGTGCTTGGGCTCCAGCCCGGTGATGGCCTGTGGCCCGTAGTCCTGGGTGTCAAAATGCACCTTCCTGACCTGCGGGGGGGATAAGGGGGAGCAACCAATCGCCCGCCTGGTGAGGGCGTGGCAGTCACTTCCTGACCCTGATTCTGCCCTGGACTCCCCGGGTCTCCGCAGCAGCCTCCGGGGTCCCTGTACCATGAGGGCGGGCCCTACCCCTCTGCTCAGAGCCTGCAGTACTCGCCAGCCTGGGAGTAGAAGCCCACGTCCAGACAGCAGCCCACAAGGCCCTCGGCCCCTCTACTCCTCTCCGGTCCCTGCCTCCTGCTGTCCCTCCTCACCCCAGACACCCCCACCCAGGCCCCAGGGCCTTTGCACTTGCTGTCCGCAGGGCTGGGACGCTCCTCCCTCACATTGCTGCGACTGAGCGGAACACTCATCTCCCTCATGTCTTTGTCTAACGTCTCCATAGCAACCTTCTCTGACCTGATTTGCAGGTGCAGCCCCTTCACTTCTGCTGCACCCCCTGCCTCATCCCTGTTGTAGTTTCCCCAGCACTGATCACCTTCAGCCATGGCAGAGGTGGCCAGGACATGGGTGGAACGGATACAGGAGTGGGTGGGTGGGTACCCGGAGGTGATGGTGATGATAGGAATGGTGGCCACCACAAAGACAGGAAGGAAGACGGGGGTGATGATGGCACATGTGGAAGTGACAGCGAGGGTGAGAATGGTGGTGTGGGCCTGGGACTGGAAGGGATGCTGGAGATCCCGGGGATGGGTTGGGCGTGGGGCTGGAGAAGGGCGTGGGAATGAAAGTGGAGCCACAATGGCTCCCTCGTACCCAGACATCTCAGCCTGGACCAGGGCCTAGCAGGGCAGCCCTGCCCGCTGGAGGAATCCCAGTCTCTCCGGCCCAGCCCCCCTTCCACCCCACCTCAGCCCCCGCCCCGGCCCCGGCTCAGCACTGACCTCCTTGGAGGTGGGTGCTGTGCTGGCCTTCTCCCGGGAGTAGCCAGAGCTGGTCTGGTACAAGCCACCGGGCAGCGGGCACTTGCCATCAGGCACCTCCAGGGGGCGGTAACTCTGGCTGGTGACGGTCTGGAAGCTGTCCCGGACTTGTTCCCTGAGGGCAGCAGGAGCTATCACCCCGGGGCCTGGGGTGCTTCTCTCCAGCAGCTCTCCGCCCCCCTCCAGCCCCCAAGATTCCTCGGAAGTCCTTTGGGCCCCGAGTCCTTAGGGGCCAGGCCCTGAGCCCCCCAGAGCCCCAGACCAGGGCAGGCAAGGCTCAGAGTCCTCGTGCGTGGGTGTCTGTGAGAGCTGAGGCCCAGCAGGGCAGGGACTGAGAAGGGGGCGTACAGACCGTACCCCATGGCTGGATTGTCGGGAGCATGGAGACCGGCTTGGTATGAGACCGCAGGCCGGTAATTCGATTTGTAGCCGGTGCCTTTATGACTGCCCATGCGGGGCTTGAAATCCCGGCCTGCGGGGGGTGGGGGAGGAGGCAGGGAGGCAGGACCCAGGTCAGCAGGGGAGGAGCGCCGAGGGCGGGCCTTCCCAGGCAGGGCCAGCTCCCCCCAGAGCCCAGGGGCCCAGTGATGGAGAAGGCACAGAGCAGGGGCAGGAACCTGTGCGACAGGAAAAGCCTGACCCTCTGGGACTCTGACTGAGGCCCAGGTCAGTGCGGCAGCGTCACAGGATGGGTCCCGGGCGGGGGCTACGGGGCGGCCTGCGGACAGCACATGTGTGAACACGGTCCCTGTGGGGCTCGGGGGGCTGCCGTCACTCTGTGTGACCAGCCGCCGGGGGCTGCTTCTCTCCCGCAGAGGCCTCCCCCATCCTCCTGTGTCCTGGGGGCTCCTGCACAAAGGCGCCCTCACCATAGGCTGTGCAGTAGGTGGTGGCGTAGAATTTCATGGGGTCCGCGCAGCCCCCTGAGCTCGACTTCACGTAAGGGGAGGCAATCCCCAGGGGGATTTTCCCCGTCATCGTGCTGCGGGGCAGGGCCCCGGGGCCTAGGAAGGAAGCACACAGAGCCTGGGGGTCCAGCAGCCCAAGGGCCCCAGTTCCGGCCATGGAGACCGCAGAGGAGGTGGTGGAACCCCACCCGGCTGGCCCCTCCCCAGGCCTGCCTGTGTCCACCACCCACACCTCGCACTGAAGGAAGGACGCGTCATTGTCAGCATGTGTCTCGGGTACTGGGTCTCGGTTCACTTCCCCACACCTTGTTGTGAACTCCCATTTTACAGCCGGGAAAACTGAGGTTGCAAGTGGTGAAGGATTAGCTCAGCGTCGATGGTAGAGCCAGGGCCTGGGCACAGGGCACCTGACTCCTGCGCGTCCTGATCCTAACCCAGTGATGGCGAACCTATGACACTTGTGTCAGAGGTGACACGCGAACTCATTTTTTTGGTTGATTTTTCTTTGTTAAATGGCATTTAAATATATAAAATAAAAATATAAGTCTTTGTTTTACTATGGTTGCAAATATCAAAAAATTTCTATATGTGACACGGCACCAGAGTTCAGTTAGGGTTTTTCAAAACGCTGACACGCCGAGCTCAAAAGGTTCGCCATCACTGATCTAACCCCACACACCGTCCTCTGGGGACCGACGGCCAGCCTCTGGCCGGTGGGAACTCCCGGCTACTCCAGCGGGACGCCCACTCCCAGCCCGGGCCTGGTCTCTCCCTCCACTCCTGGGGCCTCGCCCACCTCCCACCAGAAGTTGGCTCTGCCCAACCGCAGCTGCCCCACCCTCACCTGCCCTCCGCAATGGCTGTGAGGTCTGCGAGAGGAGAGGGGACAGGAGGCAGCAGCTGCTCCAGAGAATCCTGGGCCCTCAGGGACGTGGCCAGGCCAGGAGTCACAGTGGTTGCCTAGCAACCGGCGCCTAGCAACAGCGTCCCATGCCTCTGAAGCCCTTCTAAGGCCAGGGCCCTGGCCGGAGGGGGCAGGGTGCCAGGAGTTGTCCAGGCCAGAGCCTGCCTCCGCGGCCTCCCCCCTCGCCAGCCTCCCCCTGCCAGGGCCCAGCAGAGCTGTGCTCTGAGTGACGCGAAATAAAAGATAATCCAGAGCAATCACTTCCATTTATTGAGTACCCACTTCTCAGCAGACACTTGCCATCCGTTAGCTACAGTAGCTCTTCCAGGTGGCTATTATTATGCCTCTTGTCCCATGGGGACGATGAGGTTAGGCAAGCAACGCGGCTGGAGAGCTGGCAATCAGAAAACAAGGCTGGAACGCAGATGTGGGTGGGTCCAGGCTCCCCTCTCAGCCTCTGGGTTAATGAACGCTGGTTGTGTTCTGCCAGCGCCAAACCCGCGCCCAGCTCCTCAGCGCACATTAATCATTATCCCCAAGAAACCACAGCCCTCGCGGGTGTGGTTCAAGCCGGATCTGTCGCCTTTGATGAGGTTCTGATCCCCTCACGCCCCCACTTCCTCCTCCTCCTCCCCGAGGCCTGTGGCTGCCTGCGCACAGGGCTGCTGGCGGGCGGATGAGCGCGCGGACTCAGGGCCCGAAGGATAACTGAGGCTCAGCTTTTATTTTCTTTCGTTAAATATATTTTTATGGATTTCAGAGAGGCAGTGAAAGAGACA